AGAAGATTGCTCCGTATGTGGGTTCCAACGAGGCCATGGTAAGATCTCGTGCAGCTGAAAAGGCAGATTAGCGAAGGCATGCTCGAAACCTACTTATTATAACCAGCCGCACTCTTCCGGGGCGGGTCGGGGGGGGGGGCGTTGGCAAAGACAGGCCCGATACCGCAGTTATAAAAGTGGGAAGGGGCTGGTCACGACGAGGTGTTTCCGCTGAACTCACACTCCCTAATGAAATGTACACGCCGAGCGGGAGGCAGTTTGGTCGTGAGTAATAGTTATTGTGGATTAATATCAGTATGTCGGCGGAGTGTCTTGACCGACATGGGTAATTTAGAATCCTGAAGTGTATCACTTACAGCCTATTCTAGCGCAAGCGAACGTGTTGGTGTTGGTGCCCACACGGAGCAGACACTATCGCTGTTGACAAATGAGCCTTAGCATTCCACATCTTGCCGTGATGACTAACGTTGAGTGGCAAGGTAAGACGGCCGATCGCCTCCGGAATCCAACGAGACAAACCGCACCCAGCCCGGGGAGCCTCCGAGTCGGAGCAGTCGCTCACACCATAGAGATGGAGAATCAGGGCGCAGTAAGAAACTCAGCGACGGCCACGCAGGCGTGGCTGTTGTAAAGCATCGCCGTAAGGCCACCTTTGCAATGGAACCTAAGTACTTCGGGGATCTGAACAGTTGTTCCAGCGGTGAGTCGTCCGACATCAGCGGATTGACGAAGTGTGGTCAGTGGTGCAGGGGCTGCGAGAGCGGAATTGTATACGATGCGGAGACATCATGAATCACTGGCACTGGTGGCATCACTTCCATCGTCTTGTCTCGGGGTTGAACTCTGAGGACGGTACTGTAGTCCTTCCGCAACCCTGAGAGGAGTTTTGGTAAAGTGATGAAACAGTATCTTTCCGTAGGAAGCAGTCGGAAACGATTTGTAAAACCTGAAGATAGTCCAAGGGCGTGCATGCAATGGAAATACAACCGGTGAAGTTCACTGACCGATGATGTGACATATTGATCGGAGAGATACTGGTCCATTTGCAACGATCTCCAGCTGCAAGTCCCGCGTGTACCTTTATGCAGACATTAATGCCTTGGTGCTGGAAAGTGCTTCTACTTCCATATTGTTGAGTGCCGGATCCCACAACGACGAGGCGTAGCTGCGAGAAAATGTTCCATCGGAAAACAAAAGCAGACCAGATTTTAGGCAGTGATGATTTCAGACTTATCGAGTGTACAACTTCAATGGCAGTGATGGCGAAACATGGACGAGTCAAACTGAAAAGTGGCGATTCGAGCTTGATTCGAGCTTTGAAGGAGGTGGCTGACATTGTGCCTATTTGGCTATTGTGGCTGCACGGACACCCTTCGTACGAAACGTGGACGAAACCAGGACGAAACCGTCAAAACGCCGACCTCGCACAGACGCACCGCTCCCTTAGAGACTTGTTTTAAACGTTACTTAAAGGTCCAACTGAGTGGTCGTACCTCAGCGCTCAGCCTACAAGGAGACGAATACTCGTGCGGACGCCGTTATCGTATTGGATCCAGAGTCGCTGGGTCCTCTCGTCGCTGGCGTTGAATCTTGCCAGTTCAATGTTAGCGAGATAGAAGCTGGAGAGAACAATGGGTGTGCTCCGTACCATTGCATTCATGGCATCGCCCAAGTTCCCGTATCGTGACGTCGTTCGTCCCATGTACGTTGTCCCATCATTTTGCCGTTAGATGCTCTGCAGCGTTGAAGGTGGTCATACTTCGTGGATCGATATGTTTATGCCCATCTGTCTGTAAATCTCGCGTTTCCCCTGATGATATTCACCCGTTAATGCCGAGGTCGACGTGGTGGGCGAGTGCCATCAGGGACACTTCAGCGAGCTCCATGTGATGGTCGAAGATCGTGTAACTCAGCACGCACGACTTGCTTTTACCGAGAGGCATCCGGCTTCAGAATATGATGGTAGCTAGCTCGTTACACCAAATTTTCATGCGATTCTTTCTTCTGATTGTGCAGTGACGACTGATATTTGCACCGATCTCGTCCTCAGTCTAGCGCGGTACCCAGGTGTAAATACATTAACCAACTACAAGCGGGCTCACGATTGGAAATAAGGAAAAGTGACTGCTACCCCCCTGGGCGCACCCCGCCCAAATAAGTATGCTTTACACTTTACTTTCAGTTGTCGGTTACCCCCACCTCCTCTCGCGCCTCCAAGACACTCTCATTACCCTCTTCTTGCTCATCGGCGTCGCAACAACGAAGTCTCCGTCACTCATCTCC